ATAACAATCATTGATAATTGCTGACAGAGAGGTCATTAACTCTGTCTTTTGATCTTATAACTTTATTATTTTATTGTTAAGTGATATGATTTGTTAAAAAAAATCCTTTTTACATTGGTTATTTTTTGAAATGTCAAAAGCAAAAATAGAAAATTTTGCCACTTTGAATTTTAATAAACCCCATAAAAAATCAATGTTGCTCTTCTTTTTTGTGTGCATTAAATTATGGCTTTTCGCCTTAGTAGAGTTAAGCCAAAACTTTTTTTAGGAAATGAAATAGAAATTCTTCGAAACTTTTAGTGCTAGGAATTTCAAGCATGAAATGCGAATTAGATGACTCGTTTTTACTTAATAGCTATGAATCAAAAATGAAGTAAGTGAATATGTTGGAAAAAACAAACAAATCAAATCTTAAATCTTAAAATTCAAGCAAAATTCTCGCTGAAATCCTACTTGTGAACCTGGAAATATTTTCTATAAGAAATTTTATATTCTATTTTTCTATAAGAAAAAATTTAAATACAATATTATAGCTCAAATTCATTTCATAAAATTGTCGTCGGTCTTAAACAGTAATTAATCAGAAGATGATGATTGTTACGGTATTATGAAAATTATAGCGCTATGACCAAAGAAAAGAAATTTTACCTTGAAAAACTAATTACCGTAATGATTGGCTTAATTTTTTCAGTTTTGTTGTTATCGAATGATGATTTTTAAAGAATCTTTGTATCATCAACAATAGTAATAAGGGGTGCAAAATTGAGCGGAAATAATTGAAATCCAACGGAACAATTGATGTTTGCGAAAAACTTTTTATTACCTTAAAATAATTAGTTTTGAAGTGACCGACGAATGGTTATGCACATCGATAATGATTTACCCATGTGTTTATGGGAAATATGCAACAAATGAAAAAATTTTAAAACATTTAAAGAAAGTGTGAATCGTAGAGTACCACAGTGGGTGGCTTTCATAAGTTAAAAAATCCAACGGAACAACTGATAAGATAATTCTTTGCAAATATGACAGAAGTACCATTAAAAAGTTTTCGACATAAAGCCTTAACTATGTAAGAATTTATATATTGCATTGTTTTATATAGTGAATTTATAATCAATGATAAAAGTTTTATTTTTTTAGCATTTTCGAACAATTCTGGCCAATTTGTAGTATTTGTAGCTTGCAGTTTATCTAATTATAACAGTCTTCTGATTATTTGCTGAAAATAACAATTTTTTTGAAAAGAATTCTGCCCGTTTTTCGTAAATTTAGACTTATGGAATAACTGATTTTGTCGAGGTTTTATAAAATACCAGAATCAAATTTGACTTAATGTTGAACTTGTTTCAACTATGGTTTGCTTTTTTTATTACACATTTTCATAATCCCAACAAATTTGGTTGTAGTTCACTAGCATTTTCACACTACTCACACAATTTTAGTTTCCCTAATTTTTCTCTAATACCTACGAAACGATTATTATAATTATTTATAATTTGAGTTTATTCTTTTCATCTTCTAAGCACGCATCTGGGCATCATTGGCTATTAGGAAACTTCTTCACCAGTGAATCAATTAATTAGGCCCCGTACAGAATTTCGGTTTGGAAGATATCTTTAAATAGCGAAAAACCATAAGCCACAACAATATCAGTAAGGTGCGAGAGATTTTAAAATCTTCAATTTCAGTTTAGAAAAATCATAAATTTGGATAAAAAATTTGTTGAAGCTTAATTCAGCTTATATTAAATTTAAAATAATTTAAAATTTAAAATAAAATAATAAATTGAAAATATATTAAATTTAAAATTATCAGTGAAATTATATGAAATTGAGCAATTTTCTCATCGTTTAAAACGATAAAAAATATTACACAAATATTTGAATGAAAATAAAGAATCATAAAATTTGATTTTGTAATTTTTTAAATATTATTTTTAAAGTTATAAACTGTTTAAAGTTTTAATAAAACGCCATAATACGATTATTTTTAAATTTTCAGAGTCGCTTTTTATCTTTAAATTTTAGCAAATATTCATTTTTCTCTTAAAGTCGCCTAAAAATTTTTGATAACTAAAATTAAAACGTGAGCGATTTAAGGTGACAAAAGAACAATTTTTAGTTTTTAGATTTTAGATTAAATTTCAATTTGAATTAATTTTTAATTTAAAATAATTTAAAATTTAAAATAAAATAATAAATTGAAAATATATTAAATTTAAAATTATCAGAAAAAAGCGATGGACAATGGATTAAATGTGCTTAAGCTCGTCGCTAAAAATTTTATATAATTTTCTCATTATTACCAAAAATTATTGAAATAAACTATCGAGTGATTTGCTTTCTTATTCTGAACAGCTTCAAATATAAATTAAATAATAAAATAATTTATGAATTTATCAAAATAGCGTTGTAAAATTTTCAAAAATCCACTATTCATATCTGATTATCAACCTTTATCAATTTTTTATCAACTTTTTTTTTAATGCTATTATTGTTTGTTATTCGAATAATAAATATGATAATTGCAATTTTTTGCAGTACATTTTCACCCATTTTCATAACACCAATGCTGTGGTTTTATTCTTGGCAGAAGCTAAAATTTCCTACAGTCAGCGATTTGCCCATATTTCTATTGCTAAGTGATTGCTAAGTGATAAAATTTGTCTGGTTGGACATGTTAATGGAACAAGTCTAAGCAAAAATGATAAAAGCAGTTTTGGAAAAAAAATCGCAAGAAGAATGATAAGAGATAAGAGAAATGAATTAAATTTACGAAAAAAAGCTCATAAATTCATCGCATTTCCTCTTAAATTTTTTGCTCTCGCAATCCCCATAAATTTGTATTCGATTTTTAAAATGCAAATCCTGGTTTTTCCGAAAATTTCTTCCTTATTTTCTCTTTATTTCTTTTTACCTATTATTTTTTTTGTTCAGATCATTCGTTTATTCATTTTTTGATCTATTGATAAAGATTGACTTTGGATCACTTTAAAGTTTGGATTATATTGATTTAGTGAATCTTTAAATTGGATTTAGTTCTTGACCTATTTCAAATGTTGAGTACGGTAATCACCTACTTGATCATCTACGGTAACCCAATACCTATCTAATTGAATTAAATTATCGGGGGTCGGATTTCGTATTAATAATGAGTGAAATGTGCAATATACGAAATAGTTTATTTAATAGGCGCACTGTTTAATTTGACCTTTTACCCACTAATAACCTTTCTTCCATGGTTCCAACTGACCGATTCGCAGTGAACGAAAAATTAATGTAGTTGAATTTGAACGAAAATTACCAAGCGAATTTTTTTTTATTAGTTCTTAATTAGTTATTTTGTCGTGTTGATGAGATGGGTTGGAGTGTTTTCCTGAGGTTATCTCCGTTGGATTGATGGTATTACGGCTCGTAATTGTCAGCTGAGGTCGGGGTCAAAGTTCACGTAAGCCAAGGTAAATAGTTTTTTGTTCGTAAAGGAAAAAAGCTTTCGTTTAAATTTCCTTCATATTTTTAAAATTAAACTTTACATTTCCTAATTCCTTTGTGTAATAATTGAAGAAAAGAAGAGCGACATTTCGAAATTTTAATTTTTATTATAGAAAATTTTTGTTTAGCGGAAAAAAATTTGGCTTAATTTAGCTATCGCATTTGTATGATTTAATGAAATTTCACTTTGAATCATTTTTTAAAGCATTTTTTAATCTGAAAACGGAAATAATTTAACAATAATTTAAAACAAACCATTCGTCTTCAACCTTTTCCTTTTGATTTTCCTCGTTCGCATTCACTGAAATGAATTTCTCTTTGGTACTAAAAATAAGCATTAAAAATGTTGAAAAAAGGCTTATTTTTTTAAGAAATTAGAAGAAAATAGTAAATCAGTAGAGAACCACTAAGATTTTTGACCTTTTTTTTTATAGTGCATCTGCTTCGAAGAAAATTCCATGATAGAAAATTTTTCATGGAACTAATATAATAATAATGTGTTGATAATTTATGGTTTTTTGGGGGTCCACATACGGCCCACGGACCATGGGTTGAGCACCTCTGATTTGAAGATTTCAATAATCCAATTATATTTGTAGAATTCGTGTTCCAGATTGGATAAAATAGGATTGCCTTAATGCAATCCGATCTTTCTTTTTTTTTTTTATTCCTATAATTTTGTTAATTTTTAGATGAATTCGGTGAATTATTGTTGTTGAAATTTATTATTTTATATCGCTCCTTTCCTCATTTTTTCTTCCTTATAATATAACGCATCTAGCGATGTTTAAATTATATCATCCACGTGTCGACGGGCAATTGCCGTTTCTTCTAACACGTCCACCAGTCGGACAATCATCTTTTAAGCTATTGCGGGTTAGTTGAATTTAGTTGAATTGAATTTTTGATTATCAAGTTTTTACTTATTTTTATTTTTTTTATTTTTATTTTTTTAGGCAGATAAAGTAAAGTCAAGTTCAAAATTCATTCTATAATTATCTTAGATGGAATGAAAAAATCTATGCAAATTAAAGGATAATATATTCATAAAAATATTTGGTGGCTGGATGAGATTTTATTCTATTTTTATTTATTCTATTTTTTCTATTTTTAGTCTAATTGATTAGAGGCAGAATTCAGTGAGTTGTTGCGGAGCGTTGTTGCTGGGATTCTAAAAATCGTTATCGGTATTATTTTAGAATGACATGATGACAATCTTCCCGTACTTCTTTCGCCAAATAATTCCTTGGCGAAATTTGTTTGGTTGAATAAGCGAAAATCGAGTGTGAAGCAGGCTAAACCAGAATTGTTTAGCGCTGTTAGAAAAAAAGAAAAATTAGCTATTAGCTTAAGGAAAAGAATTGATTTAAGGAAAAAAGGATTTATCAAAAAACTCTTATACTCTAGTTGTAATTCAGATTGGATTTTGAATTTCCTCTACTTTTATGGAAATTTGTGCAGTTGTTTCTACTTTTTTATTTACCTGCAAAGTATTTTTTTTTCTAGTTCTGGCGATCTTTGGCACGTCTTCAACGAACTTTTATAATTCTTACCACATTTGTATCGATTGTTTTTCTTATATTTATTTTTGGTGGTTGGGAGGCAGCGGAAACAGTGCATCATGAGAATAAGAATGTTAGTAAAGTAAATTGACCTAATTATATCGAAAAATCATGAAAAAAATTATATATATTCAGTTTATTATAAATTTTATAATAAATTATATAAATTATATTCAGCTTATTATTTTCTTTTTCTTAAACAAATTATTTATGGTTTATGTTTGTTGAAATATTTGATCTTCGAAATTTCTGAAAGTTTAAAATTATTTTAAAATATTTGCATAAATTTTCACTTTTATAAAGATTTAATATATAAATCGATTTTGAAATCGCTCTTTCAAACCCATTTTATCCACTCGGAAGATAATTATATTTTATATTTTAGTTGCAAGAAAATCAGAATACAACTATAATTGAAAGCCAAGAAGCAAATGTAAATTTATATAATGAAATTGATGGTCGAAAAGAAGGCAATATTGCCAAGCCAAAGTATTCGAAATTTAGAGGTTTATTTTCTTAGCATTATTTTTACTTTTCACATTTATTTATTTAATCTTTTTTTTTAAAATTTTTTTGCCAAACTTTTTTTGGATCTTATTCCTTATTTTTGCATATTGTTAATAGTTCGTATTCATAATTAATTAAGTAACAAAATTTTTTTTCCTTCATAAACATTGCACTTTAGGGCCGCAAAATGTACGACAAAAAGCAGTTGTTGCTGCATTCAAACATGCGTGGAAAGGTTATAAAACCTACGCTTGGGGCCATGATTCGCTACGGCCAATAACAAAAAGATATTCAGAGTGGATAAATATGGGTTTAACGATTGTTGACTCTCTCGATACAATGATTATCATGGGTTTGGATGATGGTTTGTTCTCTGCGAGATTTCTTAGGAAAGATATTTCATATTTTTTTTAAAAAATAGTTGTAAAGAGTTTATAAATCCTGTTTTTTATTTTTAATAATTTATCTATTTTAAGAATTCGAAGAGGCTCGAGATTGGGTAGCTGAATCTCTAAAGTTTAATCGAAATATTTTTGTCAGTTTTTTTGAAACGACGATACGAATTCTTGGCGGACTTCTTAGCGCTTTTCATCTTAGTGGTGATAAAATTTTCATGCATCGAGCAGTGGAATTAGGAAATCGTTTAATATCTGCTTTCAATACTTCATCTTTTATTCCTTATAGCGATGTTAATTTGTTCTCGGGGTATGTTTTCAAGTTTCGGTTGAATTATTAAAATAGTGAACTAAAATAATTATTAAAATTATAAGAGTTATATAAATTATAAATTATTTTTTTGCCTTAATGGAACGAAATTGGCTAAACTTTCAGTCAGGCGATGTTATTATAATTATCGATTATAATTATCGTTTTTTCCGAACTTTGTTTATAATCTAGATTATCAGGTTTGGTAGACAACCTTCATGGAATGGCGATAGTTCTTTATCAGAAATTGCCTCTGTGCAGTTGGAATTCCGTGACTTATCACGAATTATCAATAATTCAACATTCGAAGTTTTTCTTATTTCTTTTTATACATTTTCTTTTTTCTTTCAGTTGGCAATTTGATATTTTAATACACTTAATCCCAAACAGAATCATCATTTAGCTTTTTTCTTTATTTGTCTACTAATCTATTTTGATTTTTACTTTATGGTAACTTGATCGTTTTTTATGCTTTTTTTTTTAAATCTCATTTCATTCAGGAGATTTCTTTTCGGACATCTCAACATATTCACAATCTTGGATGCATTGAACATGATGGATTATGTGGAATGTTTATCAGTCCGAATACAGGGGAGTTTCGAGGTATATCATTAAATTGAATGTAGCAATCCTTTTGCAATCCGTTTAGATTCATTTTGAAAATATGCTGGTTAAAAATATGTATTTTTGAAAAGATTTCATATATTACATTTCACATTTTTCCTTCGAAATTCTATGTAGATACTTTGATTTACCGTGGATTTTTGAAATAATATAAGTAATTTTAGAACCCACGACCATAACCATTGGTGCGCGAGCAGATAGTTATTATGAATATTTGCTGAAACAGTGGCTGCAGACTGGAAAAACAATCGACTGGTTAGAATATAAAGTCTTGGTAGTAAGTCTGTTTGGGAAATGCGTGACAACCATTCTTATTAATCGAAGTCCAAGGTTTATTAATCTTAGAGTATATGAGAGATTTCCAGGTTGAGAGACGATTACAATAAAACGATCGCTGCAATGGAAAAGTTATTGCTTCGATATTCAAAGCCAAATGATTTTGCTTATTTCGGGGAAATTCTTCCTGGCAACGTTTTCTCGCCGAAAATGGTTTATATAAATTTATATATTTTATTTTCTTTCTTTTATTTTCTTTTTTTCATTTTCCATGAGTTCTTGTGTATCGGAAAGCCTGTGGGTTATTTGAAAATGATAAACCCATTGCTTGCAGAAGAAATACCTGCAATCAAGGAAATTTACCTTTACCTTTACTCATATTAATTGAAATATGGGATTCATTTGGAAAAGAATGAAAATAATGATGGAAGATCTTTAATGTATATTTATATTTTTCTATATGTTTTTCTATAAGAAGCATGGTTAAAAAATAAAAGTAAAATAAATAAAATTAATGTTTATTGGATTTCTTCAGGATCATTTGGCTTGTTTCATTGCCGGAACACTTGCATTGGGTGCAATGAATGGTATGCCAGATTCTCATTTGGAGTTGGCTCGTAAGATCGGTTCCACTTGCAAGCGAATGTACCAAACTGCAACTGGTCTGGGACCAGAGATTGTATATTTTAATGAAATACCCGGACATACTGAAGATATTCGCATTAAGGTATATATATCTTCAAGGTATTTCGAAATATATCTCTTAATATATTTTATAAAACTCAGCCATTACATAAATCAGATCCTATCTTTTAGCCGCTTGATGCACATTCTCTTTTACGCCCTGAGGCTATCGAGGCTTGGTTCTATTTGTATCGCGCCACAAATGATAAAATATATCAGACATGGGGTTGGGAAGCATTTTTGGCTATTGAAAGTTACGCAAAGGTGAATAATGGATATTCTTCAGTTCACAGTGTGAAGCACGTCCCTGTTACACATAGGTTAGTTTCTGCGAAAAGATTTTCAATTTTCAATGATGAATAGCGCGATACAAATTTTAAAAGATTTTGTTATCTTTTAATAATTTCTTGCTCAATTTTTCGAAATATTTCAATTTATATAAAAATCTAAAATTTTTCCATTATTAAATTATTACCACTTATGCCATTAGTACGTTTTTTTCCAGAGATATGATGGAATCATTTTTTCTTGCTGAAACTTTAAAATATTTGTACCTTCTTTTTGCTGATGAACAAAATGAAATACCATTGGATAAATTTGTCTTCAATACTGAAGCACATCCGTTACCGATTTATGATCATTAATATTATAGGATTTTTTAGTTGCGAAAATTGTTTTACGAAGATATATTTTTTATAATTTTTTCCATTTTGAATTCGTTTTTTGTTTTATTTCCATAAAAATCGATATTTTGGATGTAAACGAGGTCTGTTTCTTATAATATATATCTTTTTTTCGCAAAATTTACGGAAAAAAACCTGAGAATGAGGCAGTACGAGAAGAGTAATTCGGGTGTTATATGATAGTATATATTATATAATGGTATATATGTTTATTTGTAATATGTTATTATTATTCGTATGTGTTATTATTACATTATTCTTATACGATTTTTTGAAAGTACGTGCAAGACAGTACTTAGTGTCCTAAAAAATTATTTGTTAGAAATATGAAAATACATAGGGAAGTCTGCATTTCAGTAGTTTTAATTTTTTCATTAATGTTTTAAATTCTTTTTCTGATTTTTAGATTTTTAATATATTTATATAGTTCAGTGGCATCGTGATGAACTCTATGCAATATATATCGGTAATTCTGGATGAATTCTATTATTGTCAGGAGTTTTTCGTAAATTTTTTGTTTTTTATTTGGGTTGTTATTTTTTTGATTCTCAAGTTTTTATTAATTTATTTGATTATATGATACTTTTTTTGCCATTTAATACTATCATTTTTTAATCATTTTATCATTTTAATCCTCAATTTAATGGTTCTATTTTAAAGACTTTTCAATCAGTTCTTTCACATAACTTATTCGCTTGCAGCTTTTCAGATAATCACTCTGAATATTCAGTTAAACTATATCATTTTTCATCATATAAAAGAAAATTGAAGACGAGTTTCGAAATAATTTCTCAAAAAAAATTACTTCAAATTGTTTTCTGAGTTTCAGAAAAAATATATTGTAATACTGTATTGCAGCAAGCTGAATTGTAAAAAGATGCAATCATATGGATAAAACTGAGGAGGCGAATTATGAATTATGTGCATTTATCGATATCATTCAGCAATATCATCATAATACATTGCATAATAATCGCTTTCTTTGCGGAAATTTTTCGTTGCTTGTCGATGTGTTGATTTTGTCGTCATTTGCCGTTGAAATTTTCTGGTTGTTATTGCTTTCGAAGCGGAAAATCGTTTAGAAGTCTGATTGCTGAATCGATTCAATGAATGGTTTGTCGCATTCCTAATGGCTATCCTGAAAATTTTGGTTTAACATATTTTATTCATGCAAATAAAAAAAATTTTGAGGAGGAAATTCGCCAAAAATCATACGATGATATTTTTTGCGGTGTTGAAGTTGTAGAAATGCTATCAATTATTTTTTCATCCACGTCGATTTTTTCTATTGTTTCATCTACGTTTTCGAAAATTTGAGGAATTTCAGGCGATGGTTTCATATCAATAATTTCGCCACGTTTTGGTAGTACATTCATTTGATCTGGCTTGACTATTGTTTCGCCTTCAACCTGCATTTATTATTAATACATTGTTAATACTTAATACTTGATTTTCATATACGAAGGGAAAATTTCAGAAATCATAAACATTCAAAAGTCTATATCCACTAGTCACTTATACGTTAAAATCGTCAATGCTACAAATAATGGTGAATATTGGAGCACAATGGATAACACCATTTCTGGTTGGCGTGCAACCATTATTAGAATGGGAGCCATATGTAATTGAAAAATTCCAACCAGTTACTTAACTATTAGTATTAGTGGCTATTTCGAAATATTTTTATCAATGAAAATGCCAATCTTCAAATATTTTCGACTATTTTTTTAAAAAAGAATTCACAATAGAATAAATAGAATAGAGTTTTTTATCTGGAAATCTGGTGAAACAAACCGCGTTGTAGTAATCCTCTGAATCAACATTTTCAGCGATTTCAGGCCATTCTTCAGGTGTTGGTTTACGTTCTTTGAAAGGTTTGCTTCCTACGAGACTCGAAAAATCTGTTCCAAAATCACCATCTTCTGGCGTTATTTCTGAACTACAATCTAATAAGATAAGCAGAAGAATTAATTTAGGCGCATCATCGTATAAGCCTATTAATTATTACCTGTATTTGGCTTTTTGTTCTTTCCTTTACTTTCACTACCTTTCGAATTCGATAAACTGGAACCAAAAAGATTTCCTAGCAAACCATCGCCAGTAAACTGAGCAATCATATCTGGGTTCGAGAGGAATTCACCAATTATTTCCCATCCTTTAGGATCTTGGATTAATTGTAGTGCCGTCTGAAATTTTTTTCGTTTTTTCAGGATTAATTCCATTCATTATTTTTGTTTAGAAATTGTAAACCTGGAAATTGGAAAATAATTCGCTTTTTCTGAACTGATCGATTGCCTTATAAATATCGCCACAGCTAAGACGATTGCATATTCCCAAAAATTCTGGTAATTCTATTAATGGATCAAAACCTTCCTTGGAATTTATGAGAAAAGCGTCAAAGAATTTTGCAAAATCAATCGGCTTCACTAAAAAACAAATAACAAATAAAACTATTTATAAAATGTCAAAAACAAAGACAAGACAAAGTATAAAACAAAGTACCATATCATTTCGAGTACCATATTATTATTAATTACCATTGTAGTTTTATGTCTTTTGATAAGAGTGAACCTATTTCTATAAATGGTATCCAGGTGATAGGTGATAGCACCTGTACATTTATCCCCTTTCAAACAAAAATAATCTCGCCGTGAAACTCAACGAATGCGGCTAAATTAGGAATGGTGGGTGTAAAAAACTAGCAAATTGGAATAATAAATTCCATTTTTGGTTTTTAATTTAATATTTACCTTTTCATCTTAAAATTTAATAAAATTTAAAACAAAATTATTACTGCCATTATTATTACTATTATTATTATATTAATAATTATTATTAATTAATTAATTACTTTTATTGATCATTATTATTAATTATTGACTATTATTATTGATTATTAATTATTATTATTATTAATTATTATCACTGTTATATTGTTATTATTAATACTATTATATTTTTTATCGTTATTATATTTTCATTAGTATTGATCATTATAATAATTATAATCGTTGTTAATGAAAGAAAGCAATCAAAATTTTAGAATTTATATAAAATTTCAAAATTTATAAATTATAAAAATTAGCGGCATATTCTTACGATTAGTTAAAAAATCGGGAAGCAGAGAAATATCTGCCTGTGATAAATCGCGAAGAGTCGCTTTTTGCGAGTGGCTTGAGTCGAAAACTTGTTCTTGTTCGCCATCATGCATTTTATTTCTTTTTTGCATACCATCGATGACTTTGAACAAAGCTGTTAAAATTCCCTTCGGTCCAAACAATGTTTTTCCCCAGTCTTCATCCAATAGACTTCTCCTTTCTGCAAATTTCAGCTTTCATTGGTTGATAACTTTGAAATCACTAGCCGCCTACAATTTCTTCCTGATATGCTTGCGAGGATCGTCAGAAAAACGCCAAATTACCTTGATTGATTGGTGACGTTGGAGCATCGTAACTCTTTGAATCATCGAAATTTTTTAATTTTTCATATTTTTGCGATTTTAACGTCGATGATTGATTATTAAGATGTGGTTTTTGTAGTACATTCTATAAATTTAATGGTACTTCAGTACAGATCAGTTGTTAAATGGCAAATTTCAGGAGAATTTAGTGGTAATCTAATTCGAATTGTAATTTTATTTGAACAAATTTATAATAAATCATTTTTAATGGTCATTTGGTCATTTGGTGTAAGTCTAATGAATAAATATTTCGATATTTTAACACTTGAAAACTTGAAAATGTTGCATTGGAGGTCCATTGATATTTATCGTGTTATCTATGGAAAAAAATTTAACTATTTGCCTAAGGTTATTAAGAATAAGAATAAGAGGATAAGGAATGTAGTTCTGTAGGAATGTAGGATAAGGAATGAATGTAGCAAATGGTTAGTGATTTATTATTGAGATTTTTCATTCCAAAAATATTTTGAAGCTATAAGTGAAAATAAATAAAGAAAGCCAAAGACAAGCCAAGTGAAAAATCCTCTTTGGTTCCAAATAATTCTCCTTCTATAAGTGAAAATAAAGAAAGCCAAAGACAAGCCAAGTGAAAAATCCTCTTTGGTTCCAAACAATTCTTCTTAACTCTGATCTACATTTTTATTGTGAAAAATGATAATAATTATGACAAAGGGCAGATTTTTGTCCCATATGTTTCAATCCTTGAAAAGAAACTGATCTATAGAAATATATCAATATGCCGATGGAAGGAGTAATGGAAATCATCTTTTTCCCAAATGGAACTCTAATGCAAAAATTTCTCATAGGTATTGGTGCCATCAAAAATAAATGTTGAATGTTTTTAGAAGCAAAAAATTGAATTCGAGATGGAAATTCTAACCTGTTGGAGTTCCTTAAAGGATCGTTTCAGAAGTTCCATTAAAGTTCTAATTCCTTGTCCGATTGAGATAAACGATGGTATTCCAATATTTTCTGAAATGTACGTATAGAATACTGTTCAATATGAAAAATTGTTTTAATATTAGTGAATTTTTTTAGATGAAATATGAAATATTTTATATTATTTCTACTATTTATTAAAAGAATTTCCTTTTCTATATTTTATAAGAAAACTGGAATTCAATAATTATCTCGTTGAAGAAACTTTTAATAATATCTCATAGAAATACTTAACAAAAAGGAATATGCAACCTGTTTCACGTCTTGATTCTGCTTCACGATGATTAAAACGGCCTGGTATAATTCTTCCTTTTTCAAGGACACTACTATTCCAATTATGTTTCGGCTGAATTGTTGTGAGAATAATTTTTCGATAAATAAGATTAGAATCATTCCTTTTCTGTGAAGTAACATTTAAAATACTTGTTGTAGCAAATAGCGCCGAAATAGTCGTTTTTCTAATATTATCATTGCTATAGAAAATATTAGAGCTGTTGACATACAATTTCTTCGAAATTTCAGAACTGGCGACTTTCCGTGATTGGGCATTGTCAGTTATTTGGGTAGAAATCCCCGAAATGTTTCGTTGATTGCCATAATTTAATATTTGACTTAAAAGATCTTTCTTGGAATAAACGCGGCGATTAAAGAAGGCAAAAGATTTATGGCTAAATGGCTGCGTACGATTAGCGAGATGCACATCGCGATTTTGAGGTATAAAATTTCTTCGCCACGGCACAGATAATAGAGTAGTTGACGCTGATAAATTCGTTGACGTATTCACGCAAATCACGTATGAATTAATGAGATAATTGGTGAGAAAAATGAGAACATTAATAGATACCAACATTTATCTCATTCTGCTTCTCTAGAAATGAATTTTAATATATTTTGTGAATAAATTTTTAGTGGCAACCAGATTATGAATCAGGCTTTCTTGTTGTGCCTTAGGCGATATATCGAATGATTCTTTCTTAATGATTTTCTTTTCAGTAATGATTTTGCTTAAAATGATAACAATCTATGCAAAAAAAAGAAAAAAAAAACGAATGAATGTTTGTAGAAAAAGCCTAAACACATAGCACTTCTTCAATTTTTTACATAAATGATTCTTAAAGAAAATTTAGAAATAGGAAATTTGACTGCCCAAGTAAAATCCTGGAATCGACCCTTATTTCTTGGTAAAGATAAATCAAAAAAAAAATCTTCGTGGTGCTACTGAGCCATTTGAGCTGTGCATTTATTCTTAAGTGCATGTTTGGATCAAAAGATCCTTAGTCCTAATAGCGGTGAAATCTGCCAAAGTGGAACTGGTGAGCGAAAGAATTAAGACTAAGACTAAAGTGAGGGTAAAATGCTAGAGCGAAATTCCTATGAAAATGTTCTTTTGCTCTATGAATTTAAGCGTGAGATGAACGATCTTATGGATTACAGGTTTTTAATTTTATCATGCAGGTATAAGTCTTATCTAGCCAAACGCACATGCACATTTTTGAAAATAAAAGCACTTATTTTGGAGATTAAGAAATATAAAGAAATATAAAGATTGCGAATTCATTATCGCTTAGCTGGAAAAAGATCAACTCAGTTTGATTTCTTTTCATTCCCGTGGGAAGCGCTAAATTATTCGAATATCAATAGAAATGAATAAATTAAATGAATCAATAAGTTTTTTACGAATATTTTTGGGAAACTCAAAATGAGTTGGATTTACTTACGCAGAATGATGAAAAACTGCACTAATGAAGTATCAATTCAATCTGAATAAAAACAGGTTAGTTGGTTTAATAATAAATTCTTTTTTTTTGCCATTTCACATTCCTTCTCCTTTAATTTTTTATAAAACCAAATACCCTTATAATATTTCGAATAAAACCTTAAAAACCTTCAAAAATACTCTAAGAAATGAGGACCTGACAAGACGTTATCTCTGCAAAAACAGGACGGCCTGGAGGCTATAACCTTGATTATGGCCAAGCGATGATGGACTCTTATTCCTTAACAAGCCTGTCACTAAAAGTGGAAATCCCATAGTTCTTAACTCTCTGGCAAATATATAGATTCTCAGTAGAAGGTGGAATTAGCTAAATAAAAATGATAAGTGCTGTTAGAAGATGAAAAGTAAAAAGCATTTAAATAAATTATGGCTATCTTTGAGAAGTATCGACTTTAAATAGAACAGAATTTAAGAATAAATGTAAATATAAATAAACGAAAGGACTGCATAAGAATGAAATTGTTCCGAAAGTAGTATGAAAATGAAATTTTTATTGCTTCTAAATATCAAACCAGTTTTAGAGGTTTTTGATATAAGGATTTAACAAATAAATAAACCTCGTCGTGCTGCGTTTTACCTTTTCTGAATAAGAATATTAACAAAATATCGAAGAAATTTTCGATGACAAAATGGCAAAAAACCTAATGCAAAAAAATGGTGAAATGGCCATGAAAATTTTTTAAAAACATCGTGATTTTGAAAAATGAATCTTGAAATTTCGACATATTTTTTCATGGTTATTTTTCTTATCACTTTCTATATCAATAAGATTTGATAAAGTTAATTGAAAAAGAAATCATAAATAATGGCTGAGAATGAGATGGCTGAGAGATTTCGTTAGCTCCATCCGACGGACCAATTTTCGAGTAATTTGTATTTAAATTGAAAAATATGGTAACAATATATTAGGTTAAATTTGCTGGCTACTGTCAAAACTAAACTTTTTTTGCTAGAGAATTTGGCTCGCCAGCCCTCACTCTCGATTTTATAATGGCTTAAAGGCTTACGCTTATTAGTTAGGCAAAGCTCTGGTGCAAATCGAATCGTAAGTAACCTTATTCGCTGAGCATAATCGCCCGTTGAAAAACAGCCATTGCTTAATGCCCTGCACCAAGAAGAATTTAAAACTGCATAAAATTAATATTTATTTCCTATTTTATGATGGGAAATAATCTGCAAAAAACATTGTTTTTTAAATTTACGTTTACTTTCTTTCTTTCTGATCATAATTTTCTATAAACTAAAATTTCGCGAATTAAGTACTCAAATTCGGGCAAATTTTCTCAAAAGATGGTTCGAAATTTTCTATTGGCTTTCTTTAAATAAAAGAAAAGCAACACGAAAATAAATGTGCGTCGGTGACTCGGTAACAAGATGAAGATTGGACGCTTGGGTTCGATTTCGACCAATGTATCACTATTCGCCTAACGAGAAGAAAGCGAAATGGTTTAATGGATTATTGCTCAATTTGGGGTGCGGATGCTGAGGAGAAAACTTACTAAAAGTCCAGCTAATTCGGACGACTCACTTGTATTTCTATCGCCAAGGGACTCCATGGCAAGTAATGGTGAGTTTTCTTGAAAAACAGAGGTGCAATGAGGTTCTACAGCTCAGCTTGTTACTAATATTTTCGATGTTGAACATAGTCAAATGAAATGATTGAACCTTAATTTAAGGAAAATTTTGGAATAACCAAAATTTATCAAATATTCTGGTACATAAATAGTGGTTAAGGTCACGTTAAAATTATTAAATTAAAGACTTTTATTCTTATTTATTCCAATAATTTCTTTTAATGAAAGCGCTCTCCCCTGATTTATTAATACTAATATAATGCCAGATTCGTTCAAACCTGGAAGTCATTTAGAAAAGATGATGGATTGCTAGTTCCATTAGAGGCCAACATCTATCTATTCAATATATTGCAATACGTATTCTTAATTTGTAATATTTTAAAATTTTTTTAACTTTTTTTTTCAATTTGCTATAAAATATTGTCTTCCTCTTATCAATACCTCAACATTTTCATTTTTCCTTCATTATCATTTTTAAAATGTTTTTTCGAATTCTCGCCTTAATTACGTTTATATTAATCCCTATAATAGACTGGATTTATTGAAGTTTTAGCGTTTTACACATTATAGACGCTTTTGTAAAATTATACAATTCATATAAATAAAGTTCCAGAGAAGATCATTCGACTTATAAAGGCATTTTATCAGCGTACGTCGGCGCATATCCGTGTAAATGAGGAACTGACAGTCTAAACAGTTTTAAAAATGTTTTTTCGAAATAAGAACTGGTTTCCGTCGATAGTCCTTACTATGCGACAAACTGGATAATGGACATTTTTGTTAGTACCCAAAAGATACACAAATTAGTCCAGAGCAGAGTATCATAGACCTTAAATGCGCTGATGATATAATTCTTTTGCTGGCAATTAAATGAAATGCAAATAATATTAAATAATGTGCCAACAACTGCAGCGAGAATTGGACACAAAATAAATGTAAATAAAACGGAAATATTTTCGTCTTACAAGAAGCAGTCTTTTGTAAACTCATTGGCGATTAAGTGCCAGAAATATCTTGGATCTAAATATCTAAATATATCTTTTAAAGATCTTGGATCCACTCTATATAATACTGAATGGCCAAGCAAACGAAATTACAACCCGCATAACGGCAGCTAAAAATGCTTTCTTCCGATTAACGAAACCTTTATAGAGATGTCGCGAGATCACCACAAAAACTAACAGCGTGTGTATAGCCGCGATTCCTTCGATCTTGCTATATAACTGCGAGATGACCAATGAGAATGGAGGATATTAAGAAGCTATCAGCATTTGACAACTCATGTCTAAGGTACATTTTACGGGTCTGTCGAGCGGATAAAATCCACCTCGTTCTTTGTTCTAATACTAATACCACTTGTACTAATAATACTATCATAAAGCGTTACCTTCGCTGGCACATTTTCCGTCGTCCAGTACAAGAGTTGACCGTGGTGAGTGGGAATCCCTGTGGTGAGATGAGCCGAGCAAGATCTGAACGAGCAGTATATGGATTTAAACGATGGAAAAAAGAATGACTTCTATTAATATCGACAATGGCATCAGAGCGCGTAGATTGGAACATCTTAGTCAATGGAACCAGCCTAACCAGTAATGGTAAGAGTTATTAGAAAGGGAAGACAAATAAAATATTCCAATTGTTTCATCTACTATTTATTACTTATGGTTCTATTTTTAACAAATATTTTAGCTGCCATCTCCTTTTTTTGATTTCGCTTTTGAACTGGACAGTATCTATCTAACTAACGAAATTTATTATTTAACTTATTCTGTAGCCGATTTAGAAAAGAATTAAAATAGTTTCCGAAATTCTGAAATTTGAAAAGTTGAAGATTTTTGATAATTTCTAATATAAATTAGACATACTAATTTTCTTTCGTGACAAAAGTTAATTTTTATTTTGACAACTGCTTATCTTTTTTAATTAAAATATTTAAAAGGAAAATTGTAGATTTATGGATTGATATGGATTCGAAAGATTATGGATTTAATATAAATAACAATAAATAACAATAGAAGGGAATTTATATAGGTTCATATAGTTGATTGTCCTTTTTTCCTTTTTTAGCAGCATTAACCATTCCTTGATTGATTAAAGAGGCTTGGCCTGCTCCATTTATTATTGGTCCTTCCTGGCAGAGATTTGGATATAGAGTGTCCCAAGCAGTATCCATATCTTTAATGTATTTTCTTTTCGTTAAATGAAGAATAGGTTGGCAATATGTCACTCGACAGTTCAGATAAAGACCTATCATATATCTTTAAAATAATATCTATTTCAAAAATATCGTTTGAAAGTACCAAAATGTTATAATAGAGGCAAATTAAATATTCTTGAGCACAGTTGAAGTGGGCATAAAATGTTATCACAATATGATATGATATCTTTTGTTTTGATGCATTCAACAATTTTTTCATTGATAATGGTAGGAGATTCCTATTGAGCTATGTTTTATGTTGGATAACCTTAGACATTACGAAGAGAGTTCAGGTTTAATTTAGGCAAATTACAAATTAGTTTTTAGTAAACTCAGCAGTAACCTATAGCTACTATTATTATTAAAAAATAACTCGCTTTATATAAAGGAGAAAAATAAAAATTATGTAGGAAAAAATTATAGAATTATTGGAAAAAAAAACTGTATTCCTTGCAAGGCTTCTGATGATAAGAGAACTTAATTTGTTGCCTAATTTCGAGATATTTAAATGATTATCTTCAATTTCGCAGAAAACTATTATCAAAAATTATGGATTGATCAAAAATTCCTAACTTGTCGACTTGGATCTATTGCCATAACCTTATAAAATTTAGTTTTACTATTATAAAACTTAATTGTTTAATTTTATTTTATTTAATTTAATACGATTTCTATATTCTTATTGTTATTTTCGCAAAATTCTGACAACTATATCAATGTCTTTATCAAATTATCGTTTATTCATTAATAAATTGCATTCATCTTGAATAAATTTTTTATAATAATAATTATATACATATCTTAATTGTTCAAATCTTAATCAGTTTGGCCATATTAAATAAAAATTTTACTTGAACAACTGGAATTTTGCCATTTTTGCCAAAGTTTTTTTATTCGAATTAATAAACCCGTTCAAAACCAAATGCTATTTTGGCTTAAAAACTAAAATGAATTAAAGATATTGAATGCATTCAACGAAACCATCTACCAAATTTTCTTCGGCGTCAGTTCCTGAATAATCTGGATAATCGGTTTGAGCTCCGAGAATTCCGAGTTTAACTAATTTATGATTAATTGCTTTCGTGGTTCCATCATCGATATCGTCATAATAATCTGATCTTTTCCAACGATTTTTATATCCATAAACGTTTTTTGCTATGCCATTCTTTCCCGGGTTTTCAAGATAGCTATTCTTAGCATTATTCATTTGATGTTTTCGTCTATTAAAATCAATATGTCTTCGTTTTCGAGAAAGTGGATGAATTGCTTTTGGTGGTAGAAAAACGTTTAGGAACAAATTTTTAAAGGAGTCCTGTGGATTTGCCAAGATAGGATTTGGTAAATTTATCGGACTTGATGTCGGTAACGTCGGTAGAAAAGTAAAGCTGGGAAAGGTAAAAATAAGAGGTGGGAACGTTGGCAAACTAAGAGGAGAAGGAGGAGGCAGTCTTATCTGATTCTCAACAACACCGACAGGTGCCGGATGTGACGACCATGTTCTGGAACCAAGAATTGGCACATCATCATTTTCAGGTGTTTTTCTCCCCGATGGAATCGGTATAGGTGGGGCATCATCCATATTGTCGTCCATGCTCTCCAGCTGCTGATGATTTAAACTTGACTCACTATTTGATATCGGTTTTTCGTCAAATTTTTCTTCGGATGGATCAATCGTCGAGATGAATCTAAAAAAAAAAAATTAAATGACGAAAAAGTAAATGAGATAATAAGTTTTTTTCTTTTTTAAATCCCATATTCGATAATATTTAGACAAAATTATAGATAATTATTAATTTACTTTTATAAAAAACTAAGTGTATAAAAAAGGAGGATTTCTAGCTAAAAGGTAATTTATAGAAGAAAGTTATTGGTTCATAAGTTACGAAGATTAGCGAAGCAATAGCCATGTATTTATAGTATATAAAATTAGAAGACTATTAGTCTCATAATCGGAATGGATTAAAGAATTGTTTGTTTTTTTAAGAGTCCTCACCATTACTGGTTGAACTCGCTCCGCTGGCTTGTCGCATTGGACAAATATGCCAGGGATAGTCCCTTGGCGATTTATATACTATAAATATATACTATAAATACTAGAAACGCAGGTGATTTGCCCGGATTTTTGGACAGGTGTACTCCTGTGGGGAATAGAATCTCAGCATCGACGCTCCAAATTGAGCAACAACCCACCGAGCCATTCTATTCCATGATACGCTGCTTTTATTGCTATTGTTTGTACTAAATAATATCTTAAATAATAATAATAATCAAATTTATTTTAAAAATAAAATATAGATGAAAAATAAATATTGAAACGTAATTTGAGAAAAAGAACCTTTCTATGAGTTGAAAAGCTTTTGCAAATAACTTGCATTGTCCTTGACTTAATCCATATTCGTGACATGCTGCTTGTATTGCTGAAGGATCGCTGGAAAACTTGCAATTTAGCATAAAATCAATTAAGTATAAATTCATAAATTCATGAATTAAACATTGATTCATGAAAAATACAAATGCAATGTTTACATTAACGATATAGTCCAAAAAATTAATTAAAAACTGACTGACCCACAGGAAATATGAATGGCTGGTGAGAAAAGCTGCTGAAGCTATAAGATAAAAAGCAAGAGCTCTTTTTCTACAATTCCTAAAGAATTTTCAGGCCTTTTTTAGAACCGAACAAGAAAAATTCTTTAATTTTGTTGAAATTTCGCATTTATGAATCTAAAAAGCAAACCACAGGGATATTTACAGTACCTGTGGTTTTTCAGTGCATCATATTCCACAATTTTCCTATCGCATGCCTAAAAAATATATTTATTTTCAGCACTCATTAGGAAAAGGGACCATAGATTTCAAAAAGAAATCCGTGTGACAACCGAAAGCTGAGGCAATCCACAGCATAGAAACCTGTCCTAAATGATTCCGGTCAATCGGCCATATTTTTAGTTCTTAGTTCTTTAACCTCAATTTTCTATAATACCCATGCAAGCATTAAAATGCTGGAAAATTGTTTTAAAAAATTCGTTTGAAGTTTCGGTGCCCAATAATTGCATTTTTTTTTTCGTTTTGCATAGAGTATAATTAAATAAAACGTCTCATTTATTTTTAAGATAAATCAGAAAAATAGCAGTTTAGGCGAACAAGAATTAAGAAATGGAAAATGCAAAAAGCTTCAAAACGAGAAATAATTATGTAAGAAAATTACCTGCTGATTACTTTCCTCAACTTTTTATCGGCCAAAATTTGCGCAATTAATTTTAAATTTGCTAATGATTCGTCATTTTTAAATTTTTTAGCGCTACACGACAAAAATTGGCAAATTCGTGCATTATCCTTACATATCGGAATATCGCCAAGTATTGTACGACGCGAAGCACCAAGAATTTCATTTTCTCTAATCAGATTTTGATTCGATAAAATCTGAAAAATATTTGACACGTTGACCTTTTGACATGGGGAAATACGCGGAAATTTTCATCGTTCCTAAGATATTTTCCAATTAAATAGGAAAATAGAGATTTGATTGAGATGTTAAATAAATATTATACGCACTTTTTATTGAAATCTTCTTGTGATAATAAAAAAAAAGGAAAATTGTTCGCCACAAGAAAATTTTTCAAAATTATGGAAATATTTCCAAGATTTACCCGTTTAGGCAAAATTGCAACATCATCAAGTGGTTTCGATGTGTCGATGATGGGACGCACGAGATTTAACGCACCTTGAATTAAATCATCCACTGAAACTAAAAAAGAACGATACAAATCTTTTTTAAGGTGAAAATTTATTTAAAACAATAACAACAACAAGAATAATGCGAAAAAATAAATTTGTATAGCAATAATCAAAATTACTTGCCTTGCCGTTTATGAATATCTTTGGGCAAATGACCGTTTTGTGGCACACATTCAAAGGGCCAAAAGAATAGATGTAGGATGATAGCGAAGAAAAATGGTGCTCTTGAGCTAATCATCGTTCATCGTTAGATAGAAATTAAACGTAGCTTTTGAATCGGGAAGAGCAATTTTCTGAAAAATCGCGAATTTTATGGAAAAGCACCAATTTTCGTTATATTTATATTTGAAAGAGGAAAAAATCGAGCCAAACGTGAAATCGGAGAAAAATCAAGACTTGATCGTTTCTATTTAAAATGAATGGTGGCGGTAAAGCAAAAAAAATTCCAATAGTAAGAAAAATGCGCAAATTTTGGTGAAAATTTAAAAAAATTTAGATTTCACATAAAACTGTGGTAAACTGCGATTTTTTGACATTATTTATTTCATCCATTAGAAAAGATTTTTGAACTCCAAAAAATTAGAATTTTTAATAAGATTGTTATAAGACAAATGAAAAATATTTTTAAAGAAGACAATTTATTGTATTAAAAATACTCATTGAAAGAGCAAACAGCACCTACATTTATAGTAATTTATAGAATGGAAAACATGCAAAATAAATTTCTATAATTATCAGATCAAAAGTTCAGCAGAGATTTGAATCGGGGTCATAGCGAGATCGCCCCTTTCATCTGACATTCATTTTTCATCTATCCGAAATGATTATACATTTCCCTCATAAGTTTGTTTCATGCCGTAAAAATAAATGAATATTGTATTCCGCTGTGGGAAAACAGCTTTACTAAATGAAACTTTTAAAAATTCTGTTCATTAGAATTCTATGGAATGGTGTGAATTTGAATTATATCCAAGCATCGAATAACATTAATACGAGCATTTATACGTTTATCTCATCATTCGTTTTCCACGAATTCAGCATAAATCGTCCTTATCACTTTTTATTTTACTGATAAGAAAAAAATAATTTTTATGTCAATATTTTTATAAAACCTCTATAAAATAAAAATAAACCAAAGACATCATTCATCGGGCGAAAATGTAAACCTTCTACCTCCTTATAAACAAATAAAATTATAAAAAAGTAGTAAAATAGCGATGATCCATTCCAAATTAAAATATATCGTAATGAATTAAAAAATTTGTGTTAAATCATCAAAATTTATCAAAAATCTTCATGAAACGATTGTCAAATAATCTATTCTTAGCGCAAAAGATATTCGACGATCCAGCAAACTGCAGAACAACAAATAAAATATATCGGCGAAATTCGCGAATCACTTGTGAGACGTTCGGTTCGACGTTTGTCGAGTAGTGATTTCTGTCACTAATTAATTAAATTAAAATTAAAAGAGATAAGAGAAAAAGAATAATTCGCGTTGTTCCTTTCCTTTTTTTTTTCGCAAAAAATATTTTTTTTTTAAATTTGAAAGAAACGATATTTCGAAATAATTAGCGATAATCGGTGGATTTTCGATGACCTTGAACCAAAGTTAAAATGAACCAAAAATTTATGCAAAAATATTAATATAATATAAAATTAAATAATTAACCAAAAACCGGTTATTGATTGCGTCCTAAAATTCTTATTACAAAATTATGATACCAGTCAGTTCCAATAAATTCTCTTCTTTTTTCCCCACAACTTTACTTTTGACGCCGTTTCGTAGAAAAATTTTTAAATTCGACTTTTTTTCGCGCTTTGATTTATTATTATTTACTAAAATAAATAAAAGCGCTTGAAATTTAATAGCGGAAAAAAAGAGAACGAGGTTCTTATCAGAATTAAAATAGAAAAAAAAGCCTATCCCGAGTATTCATGAAAAAATTTTAGAAATAAATTTTTGCAAGTGAAATGAGTGAGTAAAGTAGTTGGCTCTCATCATTTCTAGCGATGACCCCTCCATTGGCTGCTGATGCTGATGGGATTAGAAATTTTTGCTAGGGAGTCATTAGAAATAGGGACATGCGATTTGATTCTGATTTTTCAAGTTATCCTCGCTCCTGTGGAGCGCAGCAGCTAAACTCTTACCTTTCAACGTACCAATGAATTTATTGGTGCAAAATTGCAACCAATTTTTTTTGGCCTACAGATTTCTCACAGATTTAGGAATTATATCATTTTTTTCTCCAAAATTTCGTTTTTTTTTTATTTGAAAATGCGACACAAAATATTAGTCAAAAGGAAGATTCGGCCATAGTCCTCTCAATGAAATTTTTTTAATTCAAATTTATTTCACCACCAGTTTCTCGAAATTTAGACTTCGTATTTACACAATTTTGATTTTATCAATAAACAATGTTTTTTTGTTTTAATAGTGACAACAATTAATTGATTTTCATTAGGAATGGAACCACAATTAGCCGAAAAATGTAAAAAACTGCAAGGAAATTCCATATTTCATTATTTATTAATAAAATAAAAAAATGTTATTTGGTGTTCTTTTGATGCGAACAATCGATCGACAAGGACTTTCACTACAACACCAAATACGACAAATGCTAAAGTTCCAATAAAGAAAATGCTCAAGATAATGATAACCACCAACATTAAAAAATGTTCGGCTGTGAATAAGAAATGTCTATTATTATTACTGTAAACTTTTATGAAAATTTTGAATTTTATATCATATATCAATTTTATATCATTTAGAAAGAGCAATAAGTGATATGATAAGATTAAATGATAAGACTTTAGCGGTGGCTACGGTAGTAAGAGTCGTTCAGGGATAGAGGCAATAGCCGTCTCCACTTTTTATCGCAAAAACGAAGAAATAAGCCCAAAATATTTTTGCAAGAGCTGAAACAATGCTTAATAAAGAAAAAAAAGTTTAAAGATATGATATCTAATATAAGAAGCGAAGCAGGAAAGCTCGTTATAAAGTCGGATAATTTTGATTTTTTGCTAAATTCAAACTAAAAATTTTACCTGAAAAGAAAATTAAAATGGCTATATTATCATTGGTCATTTGATCAACTGACAAAACACCCTTAACGATCCTATAGAGCAATTTCATCGTACTTTGCTTCATCCTCAATAATTTGTGCGATTTCTTCAGCACGTAATTTCGAGGATTCTCTTTCGAAAGGAACGGTGATATAATCGTAAAGTTGAACGTTATTCCTGAAATTAAAGAAATGCATTGAATATTATTAAACCTATTCGTGGATATTATACGAAAATAAGGATAAAATAATAGATAATAAAAGCAAGTTTAAAAATATTTTAAATTCAAAAAAGTTTGGATTGAATTTGTCAGAAATTTCAGAATATTTTATTAATGTTGGAGAATAGCCTCAAGTCTTTTTGATGCACAAGCCTTATTAGCTTTGATAATGGAATGAGTGAGGAAAAAAGATATACCCTGCAAAACAATAGCGTTCTTTATTCTGTATGGACTTATGTGGGCTGAATTGGCTATCGAATTAGCCTAGCATTCTGCTGCGACCATTGAATCATTTCCTGCTGTATTTTTTCATAACAGCGATCAATCCTGAGAGTGATACGTCTTGCAAAATCATCGTAATGAATGCCTAAAAATTTGAAATTTTCTAGAAATCTGCAATTTATATAACGAAATGCAGGTTAGTAATAAGAAGGTTTTCTTAATATTATCCTTGTCGAACGCATATTTATCAATGTCAGGGAATATTTATAAATACCACAATCGATCTTGGAACGAAACGTGAAAAGCCAGTTTCATCGAATTATTTAAATCGAATTTACGAGATTTCATTAATCAACATTTTTCAAACAAAAACTTTTGTTATAAGTTTGAATAATTAATATAAATAGGTAACAGATTAATAGTAAAATCAATTTAAGTACGATAAATTCAAATTTTAATCAATTCCGAAGTGATAATTTTACTAAAATCCTTATGGAAAAAAAAGGATAAGTGAAAATTTCTAAAAAACCTCTCTTAATAATAGCGCTTTCTACAAATAAAACTTTAATAAAAATTTGATAAGGCCAATATTACTGGCTTTCATCGCCCTCTTGATTGCATACATTGCCTAAATATCAATAACTGTAGCCGTAATTTAGTTAAATGAATCTACTGGGTGATACATTATATCATACGTAATAAATTAAAAACTGTTCTTATCAACAAAAATGAAGGTTTGTTGATTATACAACATGACCTTTCACCTTGTATGATGTTTATTATTTTCTTTCGTAGAAAATAACAACAAACACTAAATTAAATTTTTGAAAATTATTATTATTATTATAAAAAATTATCTTAAACATAATCAAACAACTAATTATCAAGTAGATTTGCTTTAAAAGGTGGCCGAAAAGTAAGTTCTACAAAAGTGCTTCTATTTTGGACACAAGTTGAAATCTTTTGGTACCAACATTAATAATGGTTGTCAATTTTTGGGCGAAATAGTCAAATTCAGCTGCTGTATAGAGTGAAAATGAATGCTAAAACTGAGTCTGAGGCTGAACTGAGTTCTGACTCATTTCATTCCTATCTTAATCCTTCTATTTAACCTGTTTCTATTTAACCTGTTACTGTTATTATAATTAATTATAAAGGTTTTGAATTAGTCGTGCTAAAAAAATAGTAATGCTAGTGCTTAAATAAAAGTCGCATTTTATTGAATGAATAGGGGAAATATCGGTGGCGCTATTAGATTTATCGCAAACAAAAATTACATAATACATAATACAATTTATTAAATTTATTTAAAATTATTTGCAAAAATGGAAAAAAAAAATTTCTTTAAAATAAACTTTTTTGTGAAATACTTTCAACTGCAACTTAGATCTAAGCTTTGAAATGAAGCTGATCACCTTATCATACCGAATTTATATCAAATTGCATATTTATCATTTATCATTCTCCAATTTCTTTATTTCTTTCTTTATTAAAAAATTTCTGCTCCACATTCTTTCCATATATATTGTATACTTCAAAATTAAATGTAGTAGCTTCGCTAAAAACATTGGCTTAATCGAGAAACATTGCGGCAAACTAACAA